GCGGACACACGCAGACAGTCGGCGCGACAGACGGGCCGCCGAACAATGACCAGTCGTGGGACCCGTCACACGCACGGCGGACCGCGCCGCGCTCTGCCCTGAGTCCCCTGCGCTCTGCTAGCCCCCCCCCCCCACGCCTGCGCTCTGCCCCGAGTCCTGCCCGCCTGCGCTCTGCCTCGAGTTCCCTGCGCTATGCAACGAGTCACGACCGTCCGCTCTCTGCTAGCCCCCCCCCCCCCCGCCTGCACTATGCATCGAATCCTCTACACTCTGCCCCGCGGGCCATCTCCCGCCTGCACTCCGTCTCAGAGTCCTCCTCTGTCCTCTGCTCTGGCCCGCCTGCGCTCTGCTATCGTTCTCAAGCACTCTCTCCTCCTCTATTCGTGTTCTATCTTTATCCCGCGCCCTGCTGGGGGGAGGTGTTTGAACACCCCCCCCCCTGTGGTTTTTCGCGAATATCTCAAAAACGGCGGCGCGGAGCGCCGCCGTTTTTGGTACACCTTATCATACATCAATTCTACACATGTTGTGAAAATTTCAGACCAAGGTCATTCAAGGTCAGGTCACCAGGTCACTTGAAGTGACCTCACCTCATAAAAACTTTCAATGTCTGTCATAGCTACACCGAGTGACCGATCGCTTTGAAACTTTCAGCGATTGCTAAGAGCAATAGCATGTACAAAATGTATATCTCAGAATTTTGATATCGATGACCTAAGGTCAGGTCAATTTTGCGACCTCCCCATTATAAGTCAATGGGAGAAAATTGAAATGCGCCTCTTTTGGATGAAAGACGTTATAAACACTCCCAAACACCGAATTACAAGTGGTTTAGACACACTGAACTTGAAAATGGTGTCCGTGACCCTTGTTTATGCCCTGAGGTCATCTTAGGTCACGAATGGTATCTAACAGTTTTTCGCAAATAACTTTTGATAGAGGCATGCTAGAGCGATGAAAACGCCTTAGATGTGTTCAGCTCGACGATACGGATCGACTGATATGCAACATGACCCTTTCCGGTCAGGTCATGACCTTGACCTGAGGTCAAATTTTCAAGTTGACCTTTCAAGGTCAAGTTATAGTTCATTCGATGCGTCTTGACGAGAGGAACACGATGCCGGTAAACGTAAGCTCGTACAATGCTTGGGTCAAAAGTTATTGCAGAAAAAACTGTTTTCGAAAAAATCGGCTATTTTTGCAGTTTTTGCCCCCTGCAGGCAAAACCGTTGACGTTAGGTCAAATCTGAGAGAATTACTCAGAAAGGGCGTTAATAGGGCTATCGAATGCGCTTTTCCGCGGCGCTGTAGCTCTGTTGGTTCCCGAGTTATGCGTTGGCTTCTTGGAAATTTTCGACATTTGACCTGGAAATCGGCGAAATTTTGCCTTCAATGACCCCTGGTGACCTGACCTTTGACCTGACCAAAAAATTGACCAAAGTGATTTCGTCATTATTTTTTACGCTCTTTCGAACGCCGCCTTCCGCGTATCGCTACGTGGCCCAGGAGCCGAGGTACAAGGGGGGGGGGTGTTCAAACACCCCCCCCCCAGCAGGGCGTGGAAATCCAGGACCCCCAGCAGGGCGCGGGTTATTCCTTACTCTCTCATCATCCACGCGCGCTCTATCCTGGTTCACACTCTGCATCATTGTCGTCCCATGTCCTCTGTCCCACCGTCCTTCTTCGCCGCGCCGTCTGAGTCATCGCCAGGTCCATCGTTTTGCGCTCAGTCGACTCTCGCCTCGCTCCAGCCCTCTCTCCTCTATCAACTCTCCCTGCTCTGACCGCCCTGTCTTCGATTGCTTCATTCTCCTGTCGCTATCATTCTACCCTCGTCTGCAGCTCTTTAGCACGCTCTCTCTCCTCTCTCTCTCTCTCTCTCTCTCTCTCTCTCTCTCTCTCTCTCTCTCTCTCTCTCTCTCTCTCTCTCTCTCTCTCTCTCTTATCTCTCTCCCTCTGTCCCTCAGTAACCCATCTCCTGCTCCCAGTATCTCACCAGCCCTCGTCGTGACTCCTTGTTTGCCGTTTCGCTACTTTGACGTCAACTAACGGTGGCTCTATTGGTCAGGCACTGCTCCAGCCCCCCTCCCATCCCTCCGTGATGACGTCACAGCCTTTGGAGGCATCCAGCTGACCGGACAAACATGTTTGGCAGCACGTTCGTAGGGTCACAATGGCGTCAGGATATTGCCGGACTTGTTGAACCATACATCTTGATTTACGCTGCACGTCGATGTTGGAAAACAGTGGCCAGGGTTTAGGGATATTAGCTGATACGGATACATTGAAAAATATCTGGTGTAAACGGTAACTTGCAAACTGCTTTATCTGTTTCAATTCTCTGTGTTTTGTAGCCGGTGCTTTATTTGTAAGCCGGGGCTACGTTCGACCTAACTTCCATCGGTGAATGTTGCGGGGTCAGGATAGTCCAGCCCCTAATTTACGTGTAGACTTCACATATTAACTAGGGACAGGCCTCCGGGACAAGCTTGATACATATACTATCCCAAAAATATACAAATATGCACAAGTATGCGGTAAATATCATACACATGAAGTGCGATAAGATAAATCACATACGCCCATACACAGTGGACCCTTCATAAGGATTTCAAATGCATAACTTAACGAACTGCTAGTGCTCTTTGGTCTTATGCACTTGCCGCGGACAAGCGAAGACTAGCCGACACTCGTGATTGCACTCTCGTCAGGCATACATATGTAGGCACATAGGCCATTCCCAATAGCAAGAAAGCTGTGCTATAAAAATAGGACGGTCACCACCAGACCAGCATCATCCTCGTCATTACCTTAATGTCCAAAAGCACGTCAATAACTCCGCCGTCTGGCAACAGTCTGTTGCCAGAGACGCTGAAGTAATTCGATGAAATGGCTGGTATTTCGGTCCACATGGGTGTCACCAGCCCGGTTTCATCAGAAGTTAGTGAAAAAAGTCGCATACGATGGGGTTGTTTCTTAGGTTCAACTGAGAGCCGTCCCCAGGGGCACTGCCGTCCTGGCTCCCTGCCAGCTACTAGCTCTCAGAGTAAGTGATCAAATACCCAACCGGATGTTTCGCGCGAAAGAACGTCAGCGCCTAGGCGCTGTTCCCCTCTCACAAAGATTCAGATATTCTGCAAATTGAAAACTACAAACACCATGGCGGTACTTCTTGACTAAAAACATCTTCCGGGTCATTTCCTTTACCCCACTGCCCAGTGCCCATACACGAGGGCATTGGTTCACTGGTGAAGTAGGACTATAAGCTTCCTTGCCGCGTAGATGTCGCTTGGAGAAGTTGCGCAATTGCGCTATCGGTTTATTGTCCGCAATTTATGCTGTCTTTATTGTCTTTTCTCATTGCTAAACATTTTAAACTTTTTATCCAAACACATTTCTGCCAATTGCAACCTCATTCGCACGTAAATATCACCATTATATCACCACAGTCATGTCTACCCTTTGATGTCATTCTTGAAAGGGGGCTAGGACAATACGTGAGCGGACTGAGGTCGTTAGAAGCGTCACTATTACCACGGAATATATAGTCTACGACAGCTACAGGACTACCTGTAGCTAGGACTTTATGTAAGAGGACAGCGACTTCAAATGCTACCTTCAGATTAGGAAAGTACGCAAGCGGATTGAACAATGACCCCAGAGACCAGCCAGCCTGAACAAGGGCCTGAAGGGCGGTGCTTCAGTTACTGAAGTACGGCTGTTCGAATAGTGCCCACTGTCTCGCCAGCCGTCAGCCTTCAGACAACAGACGACGGCAGCATCCTTCCCGGCCAGCTCGATGGGACGAGTGTTGACTGTAACAACAGCAACTGTAATTACATTAGGGTAGCCTGGGGCAAGACGCCCCAGATAATTTATTTTGCGACATAACTTTTGTCTTACATCACCTGGAAGGCCAAATTTGTGCTCAATGCGTTCTTTGGACATTTTACTTTAAATTCCACCCCTCAAATTCATTCACTTATGATCGGACTCCCAGCTAGGAAGTGATTTGTGAAGCAACTGCAAATGGGGCATTTTGCCCCAACCCCAGGGCAAAACGCCCCACGGCCTGGGGCAAGAAGCCCCATACTCTAGATTAAAGATTAAACATGCTAGTTGACTAAATCTTATATGAGAGGCCCGTTAGACCTTGGGAGGCACGGAAGTGAAGTTAGCACCTTCCATCCTGTCAGGTGTTCAGCTATGACACTATTGTATGTACACGTTTTTCACCCGCCTCATAAGGCCAAATAATAAATTATTGCAATGCAAATGTTAACAAAATTCTTCCTTTGCCATTAATTTGCTGAGAAAAGTACATAAAATTGCATAGAAACTTACTGTTCGCCAGCTACCGAACATGAGGAAGTGGTTAGTCGGAACAACACATGAGGTAAAACGCCTCATGGGGCTTTTTGCCCCGCGACCTACTGGGGCGTTTTACCCCATCACGTAGTTCGGTCAGAAAACAACGCTTGCACTCCAGCAAGACATAATTTAAAACGGACCAACCCAGCATTATAAGCGTTAGACAATAGTTGTTCAAAATACATAAAAGTCGTTAACCTGATGTGGACCATAAAAGAACGTCATGATGCATAATCTGACTACAAAACATAAAAATCACTCCAAAAACAAATTTTTGGTTATATCTCCCTAAAGAGTTATCACAATTTCTTTCCAGTCTGCTCATATAATGATCATATAGTGCACGTTTTATAGAAGAGAGGATGTTTCCCCAGAACCTTGCCAGTTCCGAGAAACATCGGTGAGGCGTTTTACCTCGGCGGGGCGACTTGCCCCGGTCTACCCTACCATCCGTGACCGGGGCAATTCTGACAATGCTCTACCCAGGGCATCTAGAGATCAATGCTGCAGTGCATCTTTGGTGATGGGTGGTGATCTTTGAAATTGATCTTCACTGAGTGTGTATGATTGCATTGCATACCTATATGCCCAAACTGTTCCCGCACTATCCCGTATCTGTGTGTTTCCAGTCGCGCCGCTGAGCGTGTCCATCCTGGGCAAGGGCGAGCCGCTGTCGGCCGGTCGTCGCTACCCGCTCGTGTGTCAGTGTGTCGGCTCCCGGCCTCCGGCCGCCATCACCTGGTTCCTGGGCAGCTCACGGATGGCCACCGCCCCCGGCACGGTAAGTTACCGCTCTATTACCATGGTAATTCGCCCTATGAAGGTGACCAACACATCCGGTTACGTAAGGTTATTGTCATTGCCGTGCCCCATTTTCCGCAGGAGAGGCGATAAAGTATGTGATGGCCTGGCTGAAAGGATTAAAAATGACCGAGCTGAATTTGTGCAACCAAAGATTTTAGTGATATGTTACATATTCTTACCTTTTATGCTGAAAATGAAGCCATTTTTGCGCAATTTCTTCATTACAAGATCCTTATTTCATATTCTTCCTTTCATCGGTATTTGGGTTTAGGCATTGACCTGTTGACGTCATACTTAGCCTCAGCTTCCATACGAAGAAACCGTCGTTCAGCAGGCCTGTCAGGTTCAAAATAGCGCTGTTCTGTACAGAGCACCTACCATTGGTGTTCTTGAAAGTGACTAGATTAGATAGCTCTTATACTGGCTCCGCAGTCCGCTGCTTCAGTGCTGTCGAACCTCTTCGAACAGTCCCAGACCGTTTTGTGTTATAATTGCAGCTTGTAAACCTCAGGAAATCAGAACGTATCGGTCGTTGTACTGCATACTATGGGCAATATACCACGTCGCTCTGTCGCCGTTACGGCAAAGTGCACAAACTTCTGACACGGTGACGGCGCCGTAGATTCCTGTAAAAGTTTCGGGACAACGTGTCTCCTAACGGCAGAGTGCTGGTGTTCCGCCTTAGATGAACATCTTACTGCAGAAAGAGCCATCCAGCGGCGCCCAACTCGCGCTGAAAGTGCACTGTGGAATGTCACTCTCTCTCGATAGTTTGGGTCTTTTGTTAACATCTCATCTGATTGAACTTGGTTCCTAGAGAACAAATGCTGGTGCTTAGGTATATTTGCCAACCAAACAGCATATCTGAGATTAAAAATATAGACAGCATTTGTGCGGATAGGAAATTAAATTACATATTGACATACTCAGCGGCTAGCGTGCTAAGGCCTATCATATGAAATACTCGCGCTCAGCTGGAGCATTCAGCCTAACGCGTCAGTATTTACTGTTCCCAGACAATTCACCAGGGCAACATCACCATGTCGACGCTGGAGCTGACGCCGTCTCCGTCCCACAACGGCCAGCAGCTCTCCTGCCGATGTGACAACCCGGTCCTAGCCACCCCGGCACTGCGCGACTCCTGGACACTGGCAGTGCATTGTGAGTACCGTCCTGGCCACCCCGGCACTGCGCGACCCCTGGGCACTGCGCGACTCCTGGACACTGGCAGTGCATTGTGAGTACCGTCCTGGCCACCCCGGCACTGCGCGACTCCTGGACGCTGGCAGTGCATTGTGAGTACCGTCCTGGCCACCCTTGCACTGCGTGACTCCTGGACATTGGCAGTGCATTATGAGTACCGTCCTGGCCACCCTTGCACTGCGTGACTCCTGGACATTGGCAGTGCATTATGAGTACCGCCCTGAGGAATGGTATTGCACGACTCCTGGACAATTGGCATTGGGAGTGCATTATGACTGCGACCTTTGGGGCATGATGCTGCCGGACTCCTCAATACTGACGTCCACTGCAATAATTTTTTGCCCACCTTTGGGGCACGGTACTGCAACTTGTAAGACTCCTCCATGTTGTTCGTCATTACGAGTTAGTCCTTGAGGGGCGTGGTTATGCACGACCCCTAAATATTGACCGATCATTGTAAGTAAGGCCTTTATATGGCACAGTACTGCACGACTCCTCAATATGTTGACAATGACGATGACAAAGAGGCAAGTAGGCCAGCAAACCCAATCTCGAAGGCACGGCGCCGGCCGAGAACAGCGTACCCGGTGGCACAGCCGTGAGTGGGTTTTGATAGTCGAATGCCATCGGCGGCGTCCAGTTTCGATCAGACGGTACGGCCGCCCGGCTGCGACGGAACGGTCGACGGCTGCCTGTTTATGACATCCGGTGAGGCCGGCGCGCTGCCTCGCGACTGTAGGAATTGGAAAAGGGTGGCGAGTGGCGACAAACGGTCGAGGTATGACCCGAGACAGAGGTCAAATGGACGCAGATACGCGTGGGCTGGTGCGAGACGCGAGATAGACGGTCGAGGCACACACCAGTTGGCTGAGCACGAAGGTGAGCTCTGTATCAAGGCCCTGCTCACTCTGTCAGAGACGCTAGCTAGCCAATATAGTGAAGCTTGCGTCAGCTGGTCGGCTTGAGCGCCAGGTCAGTCAGCATGGTGTACAGTCAGCTGGTCAAAGACGCAGCTCATTTAACTATTCCGGTCTGGGACTGAAATTAGTGAGACCATTTTTCTCGTCTGAGCTAGAGTGATTTGTGGTTCTCTTGTCCTTGGCTGTCTGAAAATACTCTGAACTGGAAAGGTCAGCATGCGAAAGTGAAAGATTACCCTGCTAGGGAGATTAACCAAACTGCTCTATTGAAACAGGTAAACTGAAATGTTTGTGTGGATCTGCTCGAATGCTCAAAAGAGAAGTACGAGATTTGGGTGTGCTGGTCTGCTCACGTGAAGTAGCAAACCATCTGTAATGCATCAACAGATGGACGATTGTGAAGACGAGGCTTTCATCGTTAACACCAAAGGCCCGTGCTCGCTCGTAACGGCACGACAATGATACCTTGTCGTTCGTGTTGCACTCAAATTACCAGCAGACAGCAACTGAAGTTTACCATTGGTTTGTAGCCCCTTTATAGGATCATCTTTATGTAATCTTGCTATTTCGATAAGGCATATTTGGTCTGCCGTCCGTTTCTGTTGCTGGGAGCATGAACACGCCGGGAATAGCGCATCGGTCCCATGGCGCGTGCATCAATTGCCGTCATTGAATGTCTGTGTGACTGTCCCCAGAGGTCAGAGCCTGTCCCAGCGCCGTTTTTCTCTGTTAGCCTAAGATAAACGTTGTTTGATCTGCCGATTATTTGGAGGCAGTGGTCGTCTGAGGAAGAAGAGAGACGTAGCGAAATGTTTAAGTGGCATAGGTTTGTAGGGGGAATATCACCCGCTGCATTACCAACCACAAACAACAGGGGAAATTTCTAAACATTAGCCGTTTTCACGACGGGCTATCCGGTGAAAGCACCTAATTTGACCAAATCTGCACCTAATCTCTTTTACAGCAAATATCTTCATTTTATGAATTTATTTCAGTGTTTTAACTGCTCTCTGATAATATGATAAAGCAAGCATATAAGCAATTAGAGCAGCCCTAGCTGATACACTGAACCTAATTTGACCCAATCTGCACCTAATCTGCACCAGATGTGCACCAAACGTGTACCAGATGGCCGTCGTGAAAACGGCTATTATTGGCCAAGCGGAGATTATGGATAGGTACTTACATCAAGGTATATACCTCACTATGTAGGCAGAAATACGCGGCGTTTGATACGCATGGGTGCAGTGGAACGCTGTCCTGATAACTGTGATACACTATTAAAACTATATGTAGACATAAGCAGTTGTCGGTATAAATGTCCACACGTGTATGCTTGTTGACATTTCGTATCGACAGTTTCTCCAACTCATGTGCTGCTAGAGCCACTTAGCCACTATGTCTGGCAAGGCATGACAACCTTAGCGTTACGGGAACGCTCAATCTCGCCAGAATATGAGACTGGCTCAGTGTCTCATGAAATTGTAGTCAGTGTGATAAACGTCCACATATAGTCCTTGATAATGGCCCCACCCAATCGTAAACCTACGAACCGTCACAAGAGCCTATACACCAGGAGCTTACCCTAAATACACAGCTTACCGCGGTCAGATTAGGTGTGAACGACCTGCAAGAAAGACGAAGAACAGGTGTTCGCTTTTCTGTCGACGGTGTTGAAGAGGGATAAGAGGGACTGGCGCCAGAGTTGTCACATCGCTTTCATAAAAATGAATAAAAAACTTATTAAAAGCTTTGGAAAACAGTCCAATAACCAATCACCAATAAGGCTAAGAACTAGCAAGCTGTAAAATGGTGCATGGTGAATTTATATGAACAAAACAACTGATCCATCTTTTGCCGTATCGTTCCTCAATGGCAGTCTTTCACTGTATGTAAATACAGTGAAAGATGTCCCGTCGTTTATCGCTGCATGCCTCTCTTCTTCCCCCTCTCCCTCTTTCCTCTTCTCTCCCTCCCTCCCTCTCCCTCCTTCTCCCTCTCTCTCTCTCTCTCTCTCTCTCTCTCTCTCTCTCTCTCTCTCTCTCTCTCTCTCTCTCTCTCTCTTTCTCGTCTTGTTCCTCTTTCCCAAGGTGTGGCTTGATATCTGTCGTTGTCCCATCTCGCTGTCTTTTTTCTGCACAATGTGCCGTCTCTCGAAATTCCCTCCGCCCGTTCTCCCGTCTTCCGTTCCGTCTTCGTCTCCTCGTCTCTTGTATCCCGCCTGACATCTCCTGTCTCTCGCCTCATGTCTCCGCTTTCCTGTCTCCACTCTCCCGTCTCTGTCTTACCTCTCCTGACTCCCGTCTCCCAACTCCCTTCTCCCGTCTCCCAACTCCCTTCCCCGTCTCCCGTCTCCGCTCTGCCGTCTCTCGTCTCTCGTCTCCTGTCTCCCGTGCCTAGTCAAGCTCCCCGTCTTCAGTCTCCGCTCTCCGCTCTCCCGTCTCCCGTCTCCACTCTCCCGTCTCGCGTCTCTCGTCCCCTGTCTCCTATCTATAGTCACGTTCCCCGTCCCTCGTCTCCCGTCTCCCATCTCCCATCTCTCATCTCCCATCCTCGGTCTCCCATCTCCGCTCTCCCCCTCCACTCTCCCTACGCTCACGTTATTCCTGGACTCTCGTAGGCGGCGGCGGAGACCGGTGCGTGACCTCCACCATCGGCTCGGTCGAGACCAGTCGACTCCCTGTCAGTCCCTCGATTAGCGGCGCTCCACGCGCCGTGTGGGGCACACATGCACGAGGAGCTAATGGTGACCTGACGGCAGGAGCACGTGGAATAGAGGACGCGATGATACACATTACACACTAACACAGGCTGGAGGCGAAACTGGTGTGATGGTTATTTTATGGAATCTATAATCTTATACATATACCTTTGGGTGGGGTGGGTGAATTATCGAAAGGAGGGATAATCAACATACATAATAATAAGGCTCGCAAATTTTTGAAATATCAAGAGCCAAAGCTATCATTTGGGAGGTTTGATACTGAAGAGGTGCTTACCCTGCACGCAATGTCTTATTTTCCCTGCGTTTTTTTTTTCTTCTTTTTGTGGTGAGGGAGGCTTCTAGTGCGCTGCCGAATCATCGAAGTTCAATTAATACAAATCACTTAACCCGCGCCCTGCTGGGGGTCCTGGATTTCCACGCCCTGCTGGGGGGGGGGTGTTTGAACACACCCCCCCCCCCCTTGTAACTCGGCTCCTGGGCCACGTAGCGATACGCAGAAGGCGGCGTTCGAAAGAGCGTCAAAAATAATGACGAAATCACTTCGGTCAATTTTTTGGTCAGGTCAAAGGTCAGGTCACCAGAGGTCATTGAAGGCAAAATTTCGACGATTTCCAGGTCGAATGTCGAAAATTTCCAAGAAGCCAACGCATAACTCGGGAACCAATAGAGCTACAGCGCCGCGGAAAAGCGCATTCGATAGCCCTATTAACGCCCTTTCTGAGAAATTCTCTCAGATTTGACCTAACGTCAACGGTTTTGCCTGCAGGGGGCAAAAACTGCAAAAATAGCCGATTTTTTCGAAAACAGTTTTTCTGCAATAACTTTTGACCCAAGCCTTGTACGAGCTTACTTTTACCGGCATCGTGTTCCTCTCATTAAGACGCATCGAATGAACTATGACTTGACCTTGAAAGGTCAACTTGAAAATTTGACCTCAGGTCAAGGTCATGACCTGACCGGAAAGAGTCATGTTGCATATCAGTCGATCCGTATCTTCGAGCTGAACACATCTAAGGCGTTTTCATCGCTCTAGCGTGCCTCTACCAAAAGTTATTTGCGAAAAACTGTTAGATACCATTCGTGACCTAAGATGACCTCAGGGCATAAACAAGGGTCACGGACACCATTTTCAAGTTCAGTGTGTCTAAACCACTTGTAATTCGGTGTTTGGGAGTGTTTATAATGTCTTTCATCCAAAAAAGGCGCATTTCAATTTTCTCCCATTGACTTATAATTTGGGGAGGTCGCAAAATTGACCTGACCTTAGGTCATCGATATCAAGATTCTGAGATATACATTTTGTACATGCTATTGCTCTCAGCAGTCGCTGAAATTTTTAAAGCGATTGGTCACTCGGTGTAGCTATGACAGACATTGAAACTTTTTATGAGGTGAGGTCACTTCATGTGACCTGGTGACCTGACCTTGAATGACCTTGGTCTGAAATTTTCACAACATGTGTTACGTTAGAATAACATGTGTCACGTTAGAGTTGATGTATGATAAGGTGTACCAAAAACGGCGGCGCGGAGCGCCGCCGTTTTTGAGATATTCGCGAAAAACCACAAGGGGTTTTTGTTGGGGGGGGGGTGTTCAAACACCCCCCCCCCCCAGCAGGGCGCGGGTTAATGACTTAATAGATTCTTTTTTTCTTTTCTTTTTGCATCAAGTGTTATTTCAGCGTTTTCAAAGTGAAAGCGATCAATTGTGAATAATTTTTTGCCGGCATTTACGTACGCACAAAGCCTGAGGTCGATGAGAACGTCGCATGCCCTAGTTTCTCCGAATGTCGCGTCACGTTGAGCTGTGACCGCCTTCCTGAGCCCTTCGTTTCAAGCCTCAGTGACTTTTTTTCAGCTGGTCTTTGAAAACCAAATAGCCCCGCTGTGGCGCTGCGCTTTGATCTTATATTCATTGGCAGTAATGTGAGGTCCCGCGATGTTTAGTCGACTAAATGCTTGTCGGTCTGACACATTTCAGGCTCGCACAATTTAGCAAGCTCAGCTGGTATTATCGAATGGATTTCCAAATGTGTAGCCTAGAAATCTATAAACCTTATGGCTGCTGCATCAGGCATCATATTCCCGATCCCAGTAACTATTTTAGTTAAGCACTTTGCATTATTGGTTGTCTCCATTGAATCAATTGCCAGTGGTAGGGATATCTCCGTTATGCTTTACACCCGAGGTACATATAAGTGCTCTATGATCTTGGCACCAACATTATCCAACCTCCCGCTCACAGATGCTCCGGTGGTCAGTCTGACACTGGGCAGCTCTCTGGACCAGGACAGGATCAAGGAAGGCGACGATGTGTACTTCGAATGCAGCATCAGGGCCAACCCGCCCGTGTACAAAACCGAGTGGAGGCACAATGTAAGTACCTGTCACTCGGCAAGTAATTGGCCGAATGAGAATTATGGTATATACGGTGTCCATCGATGCTATAAAAAGTGTGGAGCTACATGATCACGTCTGCACTCAAATGATGCTTGCTATTCTGATTCCTATTGTGCAGTGAAACAATAATGTCACACAGTGTTCCACCCTGAAAAAGCGCGAGGAAATGAAGCCCATTAGCTCTCTGCCAGCCCAACACCATCCGTCATAATTAATTCAGGGGATGAGGTGGCTGGCACGACATCCCGACCATTTCTAAACGTGAAATGGATGGCGGCGCCTCAGGAAAAATAATGAGAGAATTAGTATTAATGAGGTATCGCGATTTTCTTGTATTAGGACTGATAATTTGATCTCGCTTGCTTAGGTTTGAAACAATCTCTTGCTATGTGCAGGGGCGTCGCCACGGCTCCCCAACTTGTACGGACACATTCTGTCAGCCGTAACACTCGTCAGAGGTGTAAACCCACGCGGGCCCGTGGAGGGCATTTTTCGTTCTCCTTCCCCCACCCCGGACGAAAAGTTGCGATAGCCCCCGAATGCCTAGGGGCTTCGGAAAAAATACAAACACATTTTTGATACCTACATTAGGGTAGATGGCAGGTCAGCGACCCCGAGCTGCGGCTTTTTCTGCAGAGTTCTTCAGCAAAGAAGGTGGTACCAACGCATTAGTCATATCAAGATGCGTCGAATGACATATAGTTAGGTTGTTTGAAACGGTCAAGTCTTATGTTGACCTCATGTGACCTCGAATGGCCTTTGGTTGACTTTTGCACATGATCAGTCTCATTTGCTGTATTTGAAGTCGCTGGTCACGATTTTGTCATTTTCTTTTGCTCTAAGCATTCATTTAGTTTAGTTAGAGCCTCAGCATGACAAAAGTCACAGAATTATTATGGCTGACGTATCAGTGAATTAGTCTATAGAATGATACAGAGTGTAACGAAATTATCCGCACACCTTTCTTTCCGCTGTAATTAAGAAACAAACAACCTGAGGTTGTTTCCCTTTGATGATGATATAGCAACCTTTCATAAGATCATATTTAGAAATGCCTAGAGCATTCCAGCTACTGGGTAAGCACAGTGGGTTTGATGTGGACCAACGCCGTATTAGCATGTGCCTACTGCCTACATACAGTTGCTCTGTCCTGGTGCCGGGCCGGGTGTCCCCTTATTCACCTCTTGCTGGACAAAAGTCCATAAGATCTCGATGGAATTAGGATGAAAACTATTTCCAAGCCGTAGTCCGTTAGTCCAGAAGGATAAGAGCTTCTCCCGGCGTCACTTCTCATTCTCCTACGGACTGATTTGTCTGACAGGATATTGCTCCGTTAATACTCGTCAGTCGTCACTGATGGTGGACTCTTCTGTCAATGGGTTCGTCAATGCACAGCTGGAACATCGCACGGCAGCTGAAAGCTGAATATGCTCCAGATATGGATCTCGGCCGTATGTTTAACGCCGGTGACGGCCGGGACGTTTGAGTTACTGGCAGCCAACACAAGGCCGCTTTGACGGTTCAAAGGACAATACAGCGCGAATAGCTGCCCATTTCACCGCACCATGCGTTTCTTATGTGTTCCTTCGACCAGTGGATGCGTCTTGGCGTGAGGCTAAAGGTGATGCACCGGCTATTTTCCCGTCAATTTCGTTGTCTTTTTCAGTTTGATGAGCAGAAGAACCAAGGTAAGGGGCGGATAGCGGTGGGTCATGATGTGGGCCCTCTTATCATCGGTCTTGAATTCAAGTCAATATGCGTTGGCAAAGGGTGGCTTTTGCGGTCGCAGCCGGGCTGAGTTCACCAATCAAGTCCCAGCTTATTACGCCTCAGGTAGATGTGCAGTTGGCTGCTGCTGATGTCCATGGAGCTGCTGGCAGACCAGCTTCAGGCTCATTGCCGCAATGCCACAAACATGCTTCCTGACACAAAAGGAGAGAGTGTGCTCCTTTCTGTCCATTGCCTTTGACGAAAACTAGCTATCAAGTGAACCTGTCGGTGACTCGACTAATTACTCAGAGTAAAAGTCATCTGGCAAAGGTAGGTCTTTGCTGAGTTGAGAGCCGATACAGGAGGCACTTATAGGGGAAGTTGGGGCAATGCCGGAGTTGGGGCAAAGCCGAAATTCGAGATATTTCTAAAACCGTACGACATGGATGCCACGTCTCAGTGATGCTCTGAAGCTTAAGTGACTACAATTATCGCATGTTTGTTACGAGTCGTCGTTTGGAATACTTCGGCTGTGAGGGCGCCAAAAGCGTTTTCAAGGTACGTTTCCCTTGTACTACATGCGCCTTTGAAGCTGCATTTCTTACCCATTATGCTACCGTTTGTCTGGCCAATTCGGTCAAGTAATCTTCAGCATGTCTTTGCATAAGTGTGTTGCCTATTTGAAATTTATACAGCACGTTTAAAAGTTATGGGCCTGCAAATGAAAGTATGGCTGGCTGGGGTAATGCCGAAAAAGTGCAATTACGCACGTTAAAGCACGCTACGTGGACTTTACTGCTGTAGAATAGCAACGCGTATTTTTAGTCAAACAAATTACACTTTCAGCCGGCAAAACGGCCTGTTACCTATAAGGGATGATTTACCTGGCATTTTCTTATTATATCACACAATTATAACTTCCAGTGTGCACCAAGCGTCCTCGAGCTCTTAAAACGCGTGTCAGCTTTGATGAATTTTGGATAAAGTTTGAGATAAATTGGCAAAACATCAATGTCGGCATTCCTCGTAGGTCATTTATCCCATTTTCGGCTTTCCCTGCAGTCCGGGGCAACGCCGAAAAAGTCAGTTCTTTGATATTTTTAGTTTTTGCGCTTAACGGTATGCGAATTCATCAAATGCGCCTGGTATGTTTGAAAGACAAAAGACTGGCCTCTCGAATGACGCCAACAAGAATAGCTTATGCTGTCTACCTTGCGTGCTACGGGCGTCAGAAAAAAAGTATTCGGCGTTCCCCCAACTTCCCCTATAGACAGTATTCCCGCTTCTAACATCAGAAAAGAAACTGTGCGAACAGATATGACTTACAAATATATGTCCGGATAATTTCGTTACGGAGCGAGCGAAGCGAGCGTAGTCTTTCCTTAGATTAACGGAAATTTCTGAGTATGAGCGGCCGGCCGGCCGGCCGGCCGGCCGGCCGGCCGTGGTCACGCTTTTGCGAGGCTTATATCTCAGCAACCACTTGACCGATTTACACGCGGTAATTTTTGTATGGTAGCTTCATTCCTTCTACCAAGTATTGGACTATTCCCGATGCATGTGGGTGACCCCCTATGCACGTGCCACGTGCAAAACGAAGAGGTGTCAGTTTTGTAATTGTTGCAATATCTCGGTAACTACTTGGCCGATTGCGCTGAAAGTTGGCATGTAGGTAGGCACCCACTAGGCACTGCATATACATGTGCCAGAGTTGGGGTGCTGCTGCACGTGCGCACGTGCAGGGGTCGTTTCCAGATCTCGAGAACGGCTGGACCGATTGCGCTCAAATTTGGTACACGGTTAGGGACCAGTTAGTAGGGTGCCGTGCACAAGTCAGTTGGGACCCATTTTGCACGTGCGCACGTGCAGGGTGCCGCTTCCAGATCTCGAGAACGGCTGGGCCGATTGTGCCCAAATTTGGCACATCGCTAGAGACCAGTTAGTAGGGTGCCGTGCACAAGTCAGTTGGAGGTACCCCCTCGCAATTTCGCACGTGCAAGGCCCACCCTCTCGCTCGCTCCGTTAGTCGCCCCTAAAGGCGTTATACTGGTTACACCCTAAATGCTAGTAGTAAATACTCTTGCGTGACATTGACTTTGGGGCTGCCTTGGATCGTAACTTTACCCACAAATAGGGGACTGATAAGCGTTAAGCTACTTCAAAACATGTGCAAAGACTGTCTTGCAGTCGTCGAAACTTGTACGGACATTCCGTACAAGTTTTCGGGCCTTCCAAAACTTGTACGGACACTGTCCGTAGTGTCCGTAGTGGTGGCGACGCCCATGGCTATGTGATTTTTGATTATTTATACACCACTCATCCTAAACGTTCCACCAACGGTTGCTAGGTAAAGTCTTTCTGAACTTTTTTATTAGGGAAAATGACAGTAAATTCTTTCAAAACTTGCCATAAACCCTTTTCCCGCTAACAAGTTTTGTAATTAAGGTAAATTAATACATAAGTGGATAGCCAACTACGAGTTGCCTAATGTGTGGCGTGGCACTCTATAGCGCCACGAGAAGTTGAAGAATTCTACGAGAAGTTGTAAGGAACCAAAACTTACGTAGACACGGTGGATCTTGTCTGAGTCGCTGTTCTTCCCAGAAAGAATGATAAAAGACTGGGACAGGGATAATATGCTCCCATCGACCACCCTGTGTTGAATGATGTGCTGGTCCGCATGGTGCTGCAGAGTGCAGACCATTTTGTAGGTAGTTGGTACTCCTTGCCTTGTGGACAAGTGCCTGCCTAGTCATACGGGCAAACAAACTTGTCACATGCAACTGACCAGCTTCAAGCTTTCCGCACTGTAAACTAATTCGCAAAACCTGTTTCTAGAACCGAGTCCTGCTGCACAGCGTGAGGGACAACATCATCATCAGCAACTACAGCTTGGTGCTGCAGGACGTCAAGCGCTTCAGCTCCGGCGTCTACCTGTGCGTCGGCAGCAACGCTGAAGGCAGCGTGGACAGCAATCCCGTGTTCCTTGACGTCAAATGTAAGTTGTGCTGGTCTGACGTGCGGCTACGTAGAACAGTTAAACTTCTAATGAGCTTTTACGTGTAATTCGGGTGCATTTTACATACACCCAAATATATTATATGCATTGTTCGTTGTCATAAAGCGCCACTCCGCATCGCAAGCCGGTCGGCCATTAAACAGTGCTAGCCGAACTGCTAATCTGACCATTTAAACCACTGCTGGATGAACTTTTCGATCGATATCTTGATTGGCTGGAGTTCGGATGTGGCCATATTGATGGCTGCCGCCCGGGCTGTTCACAACTCTGAGTTGAACTGCTGACCATTAGCCCTGCCGACATGGTCGTTCATTGATCGGCGGTTGGCCTCCGTAGTAAGTAGTAAGAACAGGCCGCTGCCAGATAAATCGATTGCACGGTAGCTGATGTATGCCGCCGTCACCCATTAGCCCGTGTTGAGATGTAGCCGTGACACATTGGAGTGTGGAGTACGGCCGACCCGCGCTGCCAGACTTCCCTCAGGAGCGGGGATCAGGGGGCGGGCCGGGCTCCGTCCGCGCCCGGCTGATTGATCAACTTCCCAGAGCCGGCCGCGGGCAGTCCAACTCACTAGGAGCTGCGGCCGTCATGGGGTCGCACGATTGACAGCTGACCGCCGCTGGGCTCCGGCAGAGACCGTGGGACGGCGCCCGTCATTGATCAGGTTGTAAATAGCTGCCCCGCGAGAGGTCACATCAAGCTCGTCCAGCTGATCCTCATCGATGCCCGTATGTGCAACAGGCAAACGGGGAGTGTAGGGAGAGAAGGAAGCATATGTAGTCGGCTGGATAGTTCCTTTAGAGACACTAACGTCCAGATCGAGCTCAAAGTTACATGTGACACGACTAATGGGATAAAGAGTTCGCAAAGAGAGAGAGAGAGCGAGAGAGAGAGAGAGAGAGAGAGAGAGAGAGAGAGAGAGAGAGAGAGAGAGAGAGAGAGAGAGAGAGAGAGACGAGTGCACTAGCGCATGCGGCTCCAAGACAGATGGATCCGACTATTTTAACGACGGAAATAGAAGTCATTTTTCACATGCCTAGATTCAACGTAGAAGTCTGAAATGTTCCAGCTAAAGCGAAGCGAGTTGGTTGAAATGAAGTAAACGAGAGATTGAATTACATTTTTGCTATACATTGTGATTCTGTTGCCAAATTGAGTATCATTAGGATATTGTTACGTTTCTTACGGGCATATACCTACGCAGCACGGGCCAATGGAAAGGCGTTCGATTTCTCGTTTTTTTTTCGTCAAGTCCAAGTCACCTACAAAGTGTAAAGCTATCGACCGAATGTGGTGCATCTGTTCTGCTTTCAACCGTTGCCATTCAATCACCATCGCCCCACTGTCAACCGACTCCCCACCATTGCCCAGCCGCCACTGCCAAATGCCCACTGTCCAGTCGTCACTGTCCAATGCCAACTGCCCAGTCACTGCTATTCAATGCCCACTGTCCAGTCGCTACTGTCCAGCCGCCAGTGCCTCTGTCCAGTGACCACTCCCACTTCACTGAACGTGACGTTGCTGACCAGGACCCCCCCCCCCCGTTCCCAGTCCCTCCCGTCTGCCAGCAAGGTCTTCAACACATTCACGGCGTCAGCAAGCGCGAGACGGCCTACGTGCAGTGCAGCGTCACGGCCAACCCTTCCGCCGGCGTGAGCTTCCACTGGACGTTCAACAACACGTCTGAGTGGCGGGAGCTGGACAGCCGCCTGGTGAACAGCAGTCAGACGCGCAGCACGCTCCGCTACCGGCCGCGCACCGAGATGGACTACGGCACCGTCTTCTGCTGGGCCACCAACGACATCGGACGCATGGCCAGGCCCTGCGTCTTCCACATCATCGCAGCAGGTCGGTAGCGAAGTCAACAGCAGAACGCCGATGCTAGACATCGTGGGTGTGGAATTAAGCAAATTTAAGTATTGATAAGCCTGCACATGAAAGCGCTTCTATTGTAGTGTGAGGACACACGTTTTCTTGAGTTCCCTTCATACATTTTGTTCGTATATGTACGATGCGTGTTGTTAGCATAAAATAATAGGTAATATTTTGCGCTGACAATGTATTGCCAGTAATTCTTCTTATCCGTGTGATCAACAAAAGCATCTGATTGGAATTTTGATGGCTAAGTTGCAGAATGGCTGCCATCTTCACACATCGTCCGTCCCTGCTCTGACACGTCTCGTCTTTCCGCGATAGGTCCTCCGGACCCACTCTTCAACTGCAGCCTCACTCAGCGGACGGCTACCGCTGTGACCGTCCGGTGCCTGGAGGCCTTCGACGGCGGTCTCGTGCAGCGTTTTCTGCTGGCCGTCTTCAGCTATGACGACCAGGTGGGTAGAACCTGCACATATTGTAGAGCGTGCAGAGACTGCATAGTTGTGCTCACCGCCGCGACAGATGTGAGGTGTGAGCGCCCACTACAGTAACACAACGAACCATTAAGTTCAAAAATTGTGTGGGAGGAGCATCAAAAGACCTCTCCCTGTGGTAGCCCTTTGATGTCAATTCTTCTGTGGGTGGAGGAGATCCATACTGGTTTGATAAGAGCTACACGCCGAATGCCGATGCCGATGCCGTGCCATGCCATTTTCAAAGGCGCCGGCGGATTGAAAATGACACCGCAGTGGTGTGTCATATCTTAAACAACGTTGTATTTCCATTGTTTCGTTTTATTACGTCAAAAAGTCTGACGTTGGTTGGCTTCAGCAGCAGTAAAAACCCTAGAACAAGGCGTATCGTTGAATACAACATATGAAGAATATGACGAATACAACGATACCGTTATATGAGCACAACGAATTGGTTGTCGTCAGCAGCAGTAAAAAACTTAGTGCAAGGTATATGGTTGAATGCAACATGTGAAGCATATGAAAGATCCAACAATATGCCTTGTACTAAGGCTTTTACTGCTGCTAAGCCAACTAAACACCGTGCTGTGCAATCCGCAGATTCTCGGCTACATCTGAGGTGAGTCATGATCACATTATAATTATTCATTCTTGCAGCTGGTGTACAACAAGACCTCGTCGCAGCCTGAGTGGCACGTGGAGGGTCTCGTCCCCACACAGCGGTACCGCATCCTGGCGCTGTCTGAGAACGACAAGGGCAGGAGCGCCACCGTGACCATCCCGATGAGCCCCCTTTCCGGTCCCGAGACGCACGTCGAAAAGGTTCAAGGTAAGGAGTGATGCAAGAATTACCCGCTCGAAGCAGTCAGCACGACTATCTTGTTTTAGGATAGAACAATATGAATAATAATGACAACACGCGGAGTGTTCTAAGCTTACGTTGCAAAAATATAGATTATCGTATCCCGTCGTCAAAAGCTAAATTGCCACTAAGAGTAGCATTCGCTATTGGCGCTGTCCTATGCCATTTATTTGTGGGACCTTACCTTACGCTGCTCAGCTGCAGGTTTATATCTGCATCTGTCCTTGCTCGTCAGACTTCACGCTGGCTGAGATGCAGCCGGGCCCGACAGCACGCTCCCCTCTCCTGGCCATCGCTCTCGGGGGGCTCGGCTCTGTTGCTCTCCTGCTGGCGGCCGCCGCCGTCGTGACCTTGACCCGGCGCAGAGGTCGCCGCCAGAGGTCTCTGCTGGCGCCGCGCGCTGCTTCCGCCACCCCACCGGACTCCGGCCGCAGCCCCGACCTCGTGCCTGATGCTACCGGTAAGCGCCGCCACGCTGCAGTCAATAGCTAGATCTATTGACGGCCAATGCCACCCCCATCTCAGGGATCCCTATCTATAGGGCTGGCTTTCAGCTTGATGTCAAGTAAGTACCGATTCTTACCGGAACGGGAGGTATAGGTATAGCTACATAAACCAAAGGTCAAGGTGAGTGATGACGCACCATCGGTAAAAAGATACGTATTTAGTTACTTAGCCCAAGCTGAGTTTTTCATAGAATGAATAATGCATACAGAAACAAAACGTTCGCGAGTAAGCTTCCTCTCTTGTATACGGAAGCGTTTGCTCGTAAAGGTTGAAGGACTCACATGCTTCCGTCTCATGCCGTGCCACCCTTACCGATTGATAGCCCAAGCAAGTTTCTGCCAGGAAGTTAGTTCCGATAGGCCTGTGTCGACACTTTAATCTCTGGTGTTACCCAACTTGGTTATGGTATATGTGCTGCCTGCTACTGAAAGCTGTCGCTGCCTGGCGCCTCAGGTGACTGCTCTGAACTCTGTCTTTGCCTGGGTCCCTATGAGCTTGGCCGAGACCTTCAGTCATTGATCGTCTCTTGCGACACAAGAGTTAGCACACCGCCTTCCGGTGGCTGTTCCTAGTCATGTAAGAGGATAGCTGGTGACCCAGGAGAGAACTCGCACCACTTCTGGTCTCTGATCAAAGTTTGAGTTGACCTTGTCGGTTCTGGTGACCCCGGTGCATGGGATGCTTTGCCGTGATGACCTTGTTAAAACTTTCTGCTCGTCTCATTTACATAAAGATGCCGCTGTTTAGGGTCACTGACTAAAATAGAAGCTAATACGGTATATAAACGGTAGATCCAATGCGACACATCCTCCGGCATAGTGACCCTGTGTGCAGCGTGCATTGACATTTGTCAACATCAACACGTTCGTCGGTACACACCTCGAAAATAATTGTTATAGTTCGTTTTTCTTAAGTTTGCCCCTCACTGTAAACGTCTTTTTGAACACAGCACGAGAATTGCTAGCTGAATTACTGAGAAAACTGGTTGGCGCACATTGTATTGGAGATATGAATAATATTTTCAAAATAAGTTCTGAACACCGACGATTTAACTTAATGTTAAACGCCGTGCAATTTATTAATTAGTTCAGACATAATTCCTGAGACGTCGTCTATCACTGTGGAGCTGTAGGTATGGGTAAATACGAGCTATGAGTCTGTGAAATAGTAAACAAATTTGATAAAATTGATCGTCTGTGAAATCTGGTGAAATCAATGTGCGCCAACCAGTTTTCTGAGTAATTCAGCTAGCAATTCTCGTGCTGTGTTCAAAAAGACGTTTACAGTGAGGGGCAAACTTAAGAAAATCGAACTATATCAACGTTTTTATCGATGAGCGCAAGTAACGTTAAAGCACATTTCTCTCCTCCACTTCCTCGCCCAGTGTCCTTAACCGTTGCACAGCCACCGTGATGTGTGACCTCTGCCGTCTGTTCCAGGTCCGGATCAGGAGGTGTACCGCATTCCTCCGGACATTCCAGCCCTACCGGCGGGCGCTCGGAGCGCGGCGGTGGCCGGCCAGCGCGTCAGGACGCCCCCAGACACCGACCACCTGCCGCTGAGGGTGTTTGTGCCGCACCATCACCAACTGTTCCATCACCATCACCACCATCACCATCACCAGCCGATCAGACCCGCCGCCGGCCATACGGTAAGAGGGGCAAGTGTAAACGTGCCATAGAGGCGAAAGACGACGCAAATACTCACCGGTTGAGCGAAGCAATGTGAAAGATTGCAATAACGGGCAAAGCATAAATTTGCAACAATACTTTAACCTGAGGTTGAAATAAGGCAAAACTGAAATAAACAAGTGTCATACACTAATAATTGCAAATAATTGTTGCAGGGAAGAATGAAAGCAGAATGGTTCCCGAATGCGATAATAAGATGCTCACGAAACTCGCCAGATAAATTCACAGTTGCATTACCTCGATTATTCTCTCACGTTGCAGGCTGGGCCATTCTGCTCTGCGACGCTGCCGCCTCCTCATCGAAGACTTCCTCCTCCCGGTTGGGCTCAGAGCGCGTGCGCAACACTGGACCGTCGCCGTGCATATGGGCCGCCGTCACAGCGCCTAGAGACCGGCCGACCGCCCGACTCCACCCACTCACACCTGATTGGTGCTCCGCACTACCAGCAGAGCGTGCTGATTGGCTACGGCCCCGAGCAGAGTGCGCTGATTGGCTACGGCCCCAACGAGAGCGCCCTCTGACCGGTCAAGGCCATTGGCCGAGCGGCTGTGGAGTGCTGCCATTGATCGGGAAATATCGATCGCTGTGTGATCAGTGATTGTTGTCAGAAATCATGCCTTCATGTGTCCTCGTTGCTCATGAACATTGAATAACAAACGACACTGAATATACTCAAGGAACAGATGAATGTTGTGATACATTTTTCAGTTTATTATATTTTATTGTGTGTGCCAATTGTTTGCTTATCGACGTTTATGTATAGGTGCGATATCGCCCCTACCTGCAAAAAGAATCACATGTTAATCATTTTATTTTTGTCTAGCCCCTTCATTACGAATGGTACCTTACCTTTTTATTTTTCAATGTATTTATTGTTTGCCGATTATCCCGCGCCCTGCTGGGGGGGGTGTTTCAACACCCCCCCTTGTGGTTTTTCGCAAATATCTCAAAAACGGCGGCGCTCCGCGCCGCCGTTTTTGGTACACCTTATCATACATCAATTCTACACATGTTGTGAAAATTTCAGACCAAGGTCATTCAAGGTCAGGTCACCAGGTCACTTGAAGTGACCTCACCTCATAAAAAGTTTCAATGTCTGTCATAGCTACACCGAGTGACCGATCGCTTTGAAACTTTCAGCGATTGCTAAGAGCAATAGCATGTACAAAATATATATCTCAGAATTTTGATATCGATGACCTAAGGTCAGGTCAATTTTGCGACCTCCCCATTATAAGTCAATGGGAGAAAATTGAAATGCGTCTCTTTTGGACAAAAGACATTATAAACACTCCCAAACACTGAATTACAAGTGGTTTAGACACACTGAACATGATAATGGTGTCCGTGACCCCTGTTTATGCCCTGAGGTCATCTTAGGTCACGAATGGTATCTAACAGTTTTTCGCAAATAACTTTTGATAGAGGCATGCTAGAGCGATGAAAACACCTTAGATGTGTTCAGCTCGACGATACGGATCGACTGATATGCAACATGACCCTTTCCGGTCAGGTCATGACCTTGACCTGAGGTCAAATTTTCAAGTTGACCTTTCAAGGTCAAGTTATAGTTCATTCGATGCGTCTTGACGAGAGGAACACGATGCCGGTAAAAGTAAGCTCGTACAATGCTTGGGTCAAAAGTTATTGCAGAAAAACTGTTTCCGAAAAAAATCGGCTATTTTTGCAGTTTTTGCCCCCTGCAGGCAAAACCGTTGACGTTAGGTCAAATCTGAGAAAATTACTCAGAAAGGGCGTTAATAGGGCTATCGAATGCGCTTTTCCGCGGCGCTGTAGCTCTATTGGTTCCCGAGTTATGCGTTGGCTTCTTGGAAATTTTCGACATTCGACCTGGTAATCGGCGAAATTTTGCCTTCAATGACCTCTGGTGACCTGACCTTTGACCTGACCAAAAAATTGACCGAAGTGATTTCGTCATTATTTTTGACGCTCTTTCGAACGCCGCCTTCCGCGTATCGCTACGTGGCCCAGGAGCCGAGTTAGAAGGGGGGTGTTCAAACACCCCCCCCCCCCCAGCAGGGCGTGGAAATCCAGGACCCCCAGCCGGGCGCGGGTTATTGGTCTTTTGTAATAAACTACTTAGAACAGGTAATGTGACTGAGAATTATTTGTGACGTCAGTGATTTCAGATGTATCACGATATGTATGGTGTTCGTAATGTTGTGAGTAAAAACAAATGTTGTAGGTATGATGTAAATATACTGTCACTATAGAATCCCTGCATTAAATCTTACAGCCTTTAATACTAGATTCAAGTGGGTAGTAGTGTTAGTACGTACTTTTTATGCTATTCTGGTAAAATAAGTTCTGGCACACCGGTTTATTCTGTCAAATGTGTCTCTTGTTACATTGCTTGCACTTTTAGCAGTTTCATTCATTCGTGATTATTTGTCTTAGTTAAAAATTATATTTCAAGATTTTTGTTCACGTTCTCGTGTCGGCTGTCTCGGCAGTGGGCTGTGCGTCACGAACATTAAACCCACACAGTAACAAAACTCCTCCACCTGACCTGGATGTCCTTAATGACTATACCGTAATGTGCGCCGTGGTGGCACCGATGTTCATCAATCTGCATCTCTTTCGCCGCGTGTTGGCAGCAGACAATTAGAACAAAACAGCACCTCGGGCCATTACCGCCAGCACGCGAGCCGCCCGTCGTGCGTGTACCACTCAGCACGTGCGAGGTAACACAGTGACAGCGACAACATAACATAGAGGCTCACACAGAGACATCGTCACAGCATGTGAGCTCACATGGTGACACCACAACATAGGAACTCACACGGAGACGACAAAACATAGGAGCTGACACGGCAAGACTAGACCAGTAGACCTAGTAATATATTGAGAAGATGAGACGCAATTATCTTCATCTCAATCAGTTATGAGCAATTATTTTTTTATCGAGAGAACAACATAATAACGCTGCCCATGAAGCTGACATGTTGAACGATGAGTTACAGAATGCTCAAGAAGCCAGAACCAATAATGAAACCGTTTAGTCAAGGTAATGTGATTCACATTTGTGGCGATCCTCAACACAAACGTTGACACATTCGGAGCACAGAATGCATGCCTTGCACCGGAGACTGCGGTCAAAATTCAGCCTGAAATAGCATTGTCCTCAGCACAATGAGACCTGACGGCTGCTGAATTTATAGCTTTCTGTTCCACCGTTAGAATCAATGCATGGCGGAACTCGGTCCGGGTCGGCCGTCCCTAGATCGAGTTTCAACAGACTTTCTGTGTTTCCCTGCCGAACGGCACGGCGTCTCGGAGCGCTAATGATGTTGATTCTGATCTCAGATTGCCGCCCTGCGACCCTCGCTGGGGTGGAACACCCAGCAGGAGTTCCGGGGGGCGCAGCAGCGGACAGTTTTTTCAGCGGCCGCCCGGTCAAACCGACGGTGTCGAGAGCTGACCGGATCCGCCCCAGTCGCGCCGACACTCGACCGCGATTGATCGAGGCCAAATGACGTCATCGATACATTAAGGTGCCTCCGTATAGACAGACTCTGATAGGCTGAGCGGAACGTAACACGGAGTTACGGTCTCCTCTGCTGCTGCACGTGAGCAATGACTACGAAAAGAACGGGCCCTGACTGAATAAAACCTACAGGTAATCAATCTGCGCGCAGCTAGGCTGTCGTAAAAAAGGCCAATATATTAATTCGTAAAATAGGGAAGCACTGTGTCGCCAAATTTAACATACCTAACCGTAAATCTTTCAGGCAACATCCGGTCTTCATTTTATTCCATATCGTGAAGTAATGCTCGATAAGCACACTGAAAATAGCTACAGACGAAATAGAATATTGTTATGATTACCTATATTTAAAAGATTGTGTGTCGGCGAGCTCATTTTCATCCCGTGGCTGCTGCCTGACGATGTTCTGTAGACCATGCACTTAAAGTAAAACTAGGGAAAACTCTGACCTCGCCCGTTATCCTTCGCTGCATAAAGATCAATCGAGGCTAGCACTGCAGAGCCACGCCCTTAGCGAGGCAAAGTCGTGTGATAGTGTCTTCTTCGACACAAGAGGGCAAGTCAGGGGAAAATTCCGTCCCCGTTTCTTATACAGGGAATATGCGATTATCTTCGGCAAACGTTCTATGTCTCTGGATCGTGCACTACGATCTATTCGTGTGTTCCTCCTAATCGCTAATTCGCCTCGTTTTGGCGCTCGATTGCAACAGTGACCCTATGTATAGCAGAGAATCTGAAATGTGAACAGTGTACCGGCGCGCGGAGAATGACGGAACGCATCTTATACTATCGGTCGACTGAAGCAGGAGCGCATCTTATACTATCGGCCGACTGAACAGTAGAACTCCCAGTTACATACCCAGGGCCTAGAGTGAACCTCATGCACCATTACTGCTCGGTAGGTAGGCAGGGAGGGCACGCAGCACCGATGCGTAAGGCAGGGTATAGGCACACAGCAGTGATGTTTCCAGAGTATTACGACCCCTCCCCACCTGCGCTCCCTCCCACGGCGCCCCACGAGGTTGTTGATGGCGCACTATACCTGTGGCGGTCGGGCCGTGGCCGTCCCAGGCTAATGGCCCCGTTGACACCGGAGTGATGGAACCGCCGCGTGGTCGATGGAGGCCAGTGCGTGTGACGAAGGTGTTGTGATGGTAAGTTGTGGCGACAGCGGCAGGTAGCATGGATAGCTGCAACTGCTGACACTGACGGGACAGGTCTGTGAGTGGACCAGCTATATCCATGACACAAAGTTTTTAAAATTTGTAGATATGGCTAATAAAATACAATGAAATTTCCTTGAGCGGCCATGTGACGACACCGTTTCTCCTACTGTGCTTTTTCGGAGCTAGTAGTGCGTAGACAAATGTGAAAAGTTATATAGACATGAGTTATCAATGAGACGAAACAATGATTCCAAGGTTATCATTGGTACAGATATTGGCCTTGCAAACACACTTATCAGTCATCAATGTTGTGTTGCCTTTTGTCATAGTTTCCCTCGGTAATGTAGATTTCCTTTCAATCTTTGTAAAGGCTCCATGCTTTTCTCTTTGCCAGCTGTATGTAGATGAGTGGAGGTCTACGTCCTGTTTTTGATCAGCGCTCGGTTAAGTCGCTACCTACCTGTTTTCCAAATCAGATCACACACAGGCTGGACGCTTGAGTATCTTGTGGCGATCGTTCGCCCCTCCCCCTGTGGCACCACATGTAAACGCGGCGCGGCCGGCGGCGAGTGCTCGCCCCGGGCCGCCGCGCCGACCGGGACCAGCGCGGCGTGAGCCCGCGGGGTGGGGTCACGTGACCTGACCGAGCGAAGGTCGGGCCGGCGCGGCCCATCGCGGCCCGGGTAGCTGGTGTCGCGCACTGGCTGGATAATGCATGTGTTACAGGCCGTATGAAAACTCAGTCCGTTTGCAAACGGCCTGGCCCGATTCAGGCCGTTTGCAAACGGCCTGGACAGCCCAGTCAGTATGCAAACGGACTGAAAAGTCAGGCCGTTTGAATACGGGCTGAAATTCCAGGCTGTTTGCAAACCGCCTGAAATTTCAGGCCGTTTGCAAACCGTCTAGGCCGTATGACAACTTTCCAGACACCAGGCCGTTTGCAAACGGTCTAGGCATTTTGAAAACAATCTGGTCTGCATAAAGTTACAGCTGGACAGTGTTGAGTTTGTT